ACAACAAGATGGAAGACCCGTTCACTGCAGGGTCACTGACTGATGTCTAACCGTTGTAAAGTGTGGCAACAATCTCATTATAATCTTCAGTGTAGCTCACTAACTGTTTTCGTTTTCGTCCAGTACATGTAGCCAGGGACAGAGTGGGAGTAAAAGATGGCCATGGACTTTGATCCAGACCGGCCCACCATAAAGGCTACTCCACCGGGGCCGCCCTGCTAATGGACTCACGTACAAACAGGCCCACACACACTTTAATACCTTAAAAAGGCTGCAGAATCACACATACAATCATGGCCGTAACCAGCTGAGGTCACCAAGGCCCGGACCTCCGTAGTTATATGTAGACTTTAGCCTATTAATAAAAATCATTGGTAACAAGCTCAACTTAAATGAAGGCTTTAGGACCATGTGGACGCAGCTGATTACACCATCGCAACCCTCATTTCAAGTTGAGAAACTGTTTCCCCATCGATGGTCAGTGTCCAGACCTGAGGAAACACCAGAAGCACATGACAACGAGAGAGCGCCGCTGTGTGCAGGCAGAGTTTTGGCCGATGAACAGGGTTCGAGTTACGTGAGAGCTCAGCTCCCATAAGGAGGTCTGAGCGACTGTAGGGATCATTCATTTATCAACAGCCATTATTTTGAATCACAAATTCATTGTAATTAGTACCCACTATTATTTACATCAGCTAGACTCTGTATTGGCTGCTGCTTATTTGTTTAGTATTGTTGGCTTTTTGCATCCTCCAATTAGTGGTAATAATCTTGCTACTGTGTACTGGCGGCCAGCAGTGCGTAAAATAAATACTTCAATATTATACCTACAATAAAGGGCGGAATTGCGTCTCTCATTTAGCAATAGTCTCTGATGGCATTTTTAACTTTTTAAACTTTGTTGCAATATCGCACATCTGGGGCGAGTAGTGGACTGATGTGTGTGATGCGTAATAAGCTCGGATCTCTCTCTCTCTCTGCCGGTCACGTTGGTTAGAATACTAGAGACCCTCACGAAGCTCAGATTATAACTGGAAGCCTGGCGATAGGGTGAAGCGTCTCCCCATCAAGAGAGACGCTGTGCGCATTTACGCACGAGCCACAGCAGCATTACCTCATGTTTAAATCTCCCGACAGGCCGACAGGATCGTCAGGATCTAATGTTAAATAATACGCTGTCTCCACATCCAAACGGCCTCACACACAGTCCAGGTCATACAGAGACACTGTCTGGAGGAAAGCATGGGCTGGATAATGAATACTGCACTGTTCAGCTGCACTATCTGTGGCTTCGCTGTCTAATCTTTCGCCCGGGAACAGGGCTGTGGCCTCTTCCTCTTCCCGGTCTTAGCGTCTGTGGCACTGGTACTACAGAACAAGTCGGCAACTTTTTTTACATGTACTTGCATTACTCAGCTTTTCCATGTTCAGTTGTTGCTCGTTTTCTGATTCTCCAGATGGCCAGACCGCTACATGATGTAGCTGTGCTCACATTGCTGAGCCAAAGACACACAAATAGTTATTGAAAAGGAGCAGGGGGGCTAAAGGCGGTCAAGTGTGAAGCACTATCATGTAAGGAGCATGGATTAGTTCAAGCTCAAATTGATTTTACTGCAACATTGCAGTGGGAGTTTACTTGGGTTTCCAGCAGAAGCTGTCTCCTGGTGTTTCGCTCATGAGTTCAAGCATGCGTACGCACCGCTAGGTGCCGCTGAAAACTACATATAGCTCGTTTAAATAAATTAAAGATATATTTTGATTCTGTAGTTACATGGGGACAATCATCTATTAAACCGTATTATTTGTTGTAACATGTTATCTGGTTTATCTGCAGGACTGCAGCCACTTGGCAATAGCGAAAACTGACATGGAGGTAAATACTGTAAGTCGTTTTTAAGCTGGTTGAGTGTGGGTAACTTTTAACTGTACATATGGAGAGATTACTCTCTCCGATATCCAGTGGAAGCTTTGAAGTGATCTTTTTGAGAACAAATGTTTTTGGTATGACCGCTAAGCTCAAAGGTTTTAAGCCCCCCTCTTCTTGTATTATAAAAATATCCTCTTCGGTTTGTTGTTCCATATACATGCAGGTGTTCTTGTTCATATTTTTATACAGTTCTTCTGAAGGGTGCATAAGGAAGTTAATATGTATGTATATCATGGTATTATTAAAGAGTTTAGTAAAGCTGTTTCTCATGGATTTATTTTCTATTTTCTGGAGCCTCTGCGCTGAGATTTCACCATTACTCATTATTTTACCTTTTGGATTACTATGACATGTTTTAATCCAAGATGGACCATAATTTAGTCCAATAATAGTTTTTGAAATGCTGTTTTTGAGCTCTGCAATAAAAATTGTACCAGGGTCATGTACTATATCATAAAACCTTCTAAAAGTCTGTCTAATCTCTCATTTATGCTTCTCCCTTTCATGAATCCTGTTTGCTCCGGATGAGAAACCCTAGCTAATATCTTTTTTTATCCAATTGGCAAGACAAAATGTTTGCATCATAGCACTGCATTGTAGCCCTCTAGTTTTTGAGATTTATGTTGTCCATGGTGTTCCTGATCATTTCCCTTCTTCATAACACACTTTAATGGGGTAATAAAAGGTTTCATAGAGTTCAGCTGGTATTCCTTCCAGTGCTTTGGACGGCTTTAAGGGAGTTTCTTGGTCCCGAGCAGTTCGTCCTCTGTGATCGGCCCTTAACACGAGGCGTCCTCTTTAGATCAGATGGCCGTCTTGTTGGGACAAAAGGTTCGGTGTTCCAAGTGTGGCTGTGTGCTTCTTTGATATTATCTTTGGGCTCTTTAAATGTGGTGATATTTATCGTTTTTCTTTGTCCTTTTTAAGTATTTTTTTTGTAATCAGTGTTGAGCAGTAACGCGCTACTTCAATATATTTATTTTTCTAATTATTTCCATTATGCATGGACTCATCCGGAGAAAGTGACGCTAAGCAACGTTTAACGTTTTGTAAAAGCACTGAATGCTGCTCTTAAAAATGTGCAGACAAACAGCAGTTCAAAAGTCGGGAGAGACTTGCTTTATTTTTTTTATTTCAGCCAGTGGTGTTAAGAAATGTTATGTTTTGTAAAAACGTATTTGTGGAATTTTGTCCAATGTGTACTGCGGACATCTGTAAAAAAAAAAAAAAAAAGAAAAAAAAAAAGTAGACACAAATATCTCAGTAACCAAAACATGTATTTTTACATTTGTGTTGTGTACAAATGCGTAAAAAGGAAGTTACAAATGTAACAAGATCTTGCAAAAACTGTTTTGTGTGTAAAAGTAACTCTGTATTTTTGTGGATATGATTTTACAGATCACAAATGTAAAAATCCATATTTGTAGATAGAAAACTATTTGTGCATCATAGTACACATTTGTGAATTGTTTTCTGTGTGTTACAAATATTAAAGTCTAATAAAATCTTCCATAATCATCTGGTTTGAGAGGCTGCGGGGGGGGAGTGAAAGCAATATATAGACAGTAATGTAAAGAGTAACGTAACTAGTTACTTTTAATACACAGTAATAAGTAATGTAATATTAGTACTTTTTTAAGGAGTAGTAAGTAAAAGGTAACTTCGTACAATTTCTGAGTAACTTGCCCAACACTGGTCGAAATTATCAATTACAAACTCCAATAATCGTTCAGTTTGCTGTTATTATTATTATTATTTTGCTGTGGTTTTTCTTTTTCCTCAAGCTGTATTACATTCAGTAGCCTTTCACTTTAAGGCGTCCCATACTATGAAAGGTGAAGCTGATTAAATTTCCAATGTCTCATGTTCAGAGGTAATCATATTTATTCCAATAAGTCAACGACCCGAACATATTTTATCGGTAATTGCAGTTTTTGTGATCAGTTTAAAAGAAACTTTAGAAGAAAGTAGTCTAACCTACTTATGGAGTTCTGTAAACAGAGATTCAGGAACAGGATCACGCCTCCCTTCTTCCCTCTCACTGATTAATCTGTGTCTCATTACACACCTATGAATCCAGTCACCTTTTATAACTATTCATTACAATAAACCGCTACAAACCTAACATTGGCGTGATCCTTCTAACCTTTTGTGGACTGGTCATCCTCCATTTATCTGTAATGTCTAATGAGGCCGTTAGATTCTTAGATTCTCACTGTGAGCGTTTGGATGATGTTAAAGTCTTCTCCCACAATAACTTAATTTACACGTTAACGAGTATATGTTTATTTTGTCTATTCAAGTATGGCACAGTCATTTAATTATTCACACATTGTACTACATTTTGGCAGAGGAGCTACAATTTCATCAGTGTATCCTGATCTACAGAGACATTTGTTGGAACAGAAATGATTTACAAACTTTTATTGGCAGTTTTATTGGATTAGTTGAGAGCCTTTGTTTTGTGTGACTTTACACTCTCACAGTTCATCTGAAGGTGATGAACCCATAATCCTCCAGCTGCTGGCACTTACACAGCTAAATGTGTTGTTTTCATGAAAAGAAGTAACTCTGTTTTTTATTAGAGGGTATGTTATGTGGTATATTTTTATATTGTCAATTTATATATTTATGTGCACAATATTCTCTTTCGCTGCAATACGTCTGCACAACAGAAACCTGAAATAATGCACATGTAAATATCTGCCACGTTGTTCTTTCTCTGCAAATACTTATACTTATTATTTTTCTCTATTCTTTTTATTATTCTTATATACGTTGCATTGTTTATTCCATATTTATATATTTCTACATTTATTTATGGCAGCTGTATGTCTGTCTACGTGTAGCACCTCATCACCGCAGCACATTCCTCGTATGTGTAAAACACTACTTGGCAATAAAGCTCCTTCTGATTCTGATTCTGAAAGAAGCATTTTTGGAGTTACACCAAAAATGTGTCTTTACCCTTCATGTCTCTGAGTTGGTCGGACCTGTCTCTAAATGTTAAATTGAGTGCCAAGACAGCAGAGTGGCAGAGACACAATACAGTAAAACTTCAATAAAAGCACAACCCCAATTAAATCCCAAATTGAGTCTTTTTTACTGGCCTGGTGGGGCTACACGTTTTCACAAATGTCTCAGTTAGAAACATGGTGTTGTTTTTAAAGAAACAAACACCATAACACCTAAACTAAATTATAACTCATTTGAAAGCCTTGTTCTTAGTCTTTCACACCCAAGTTGGAAATCACTGCAACCAATTCTGTCCTCGGACCAATCCTCTTCACTTTATATATGCTTCCTTTAGGCAATATTTTCAGGAAATATTCCATAAGCTTTCATTGTTATGCAGATGATACTCAGTTATATCTATCGATCAAGCCAGATGAAACTCATCAGTTAACTAAACTTCAAATGTGCCTTCAGGATGTTAAAACCTGGATGACCTGTAATTTTCTAATGTTAAACTCAGATAAAACTGAAGTTATTGTTCTGGGGCCTAAGCACCTCCGTGACGCATTATCTAAACATATAGTTTCCCTGGATGGCATCGCCCTGGCCTCCAGCACCACTGTGAGGAATCTTGGAGTTATCTTTGATCAGGACATGTCGTTTAAGTCTCACATTAAGCAAATTTCAAGGACCGCCTTTTTTCACCTACGTAATATTGCGAAAATCAGGAACATCCTGTCTAAAAATGATGCAGAAAAACTAGTCCATGCATTTGTTACTTCTAGGCTGGATTACTGCAATTCCTTATTATCAGGCTGCTCGAAAAAGTCCATTAAGACTCTTCAGCTGATCCAGAATGCTGCAGCATGTGTTCTGACAGGAACCAGGAAAAGAGATCACATTTCTCCTGTTTTAGCTTCTTTGCATTGGCTTCCAGTAAAATCCAGAATAGAATTTAAAATCATTCTTCTTACCTACAAAGCTCTTAATGGTCAGGCACCATCTTATCTTAAAGAGCTCATAGTACCTTACTACCCCACCAGAGCACTGCGCTCCCAGAATGCAGGGTTACTTGTGGTTCCTAGAGTCTCCAAAAGTAGACTAGGAGCCAGAGCGTTCAGCTATCAAGCTCCTCTCCTGTGGAACCAGGTTCCAGTTTGGGTTCAGGAGGCAGACACCATCTCCACATTTAAGAGTAGGCTTAAGACTTTCCTCTTTGATAAAGCTTATAGTTAGGGCTGGCTCAGGTAGTCCTGAACCATCCCTTAGTTATGCTGCTATAGGCCTAGACTGCCGGGGGATTTCCCATGATGCACTGAGCTCCTCTCTCTCTCTCTTTCTCTCCCTCTGTATGCAACCTCATCCCATTATTGCATGTTACTAACACAACTTCTCCCCTTTCTGGTAGTCTTGTGCTTTCTCGTCTCTCTCCTCTCTCCTCCTATCACTTCCTGCAGGTTTTCTGGCTCTGGAGCTGTGGAGTCTGGATCTGTGGTTGCGGGTCACCTGCTGCCCCCGTGTTCCTGCTCGACACCCTCTGCTGCAACGACTATTGTTACTGGTCCTATTATTATTATTGTTATTATAATCATTAACATTATGACTGTTACCATTAACACTACTATAAATATCTGTACCATTTTTCATTTAGTCTATAGCAACATCACCTTTACTGTCTGTACCTCTGTGTGTATATTGTGTAGGCTGCCTCCCTCCCCTCTCTCTCTCTCTCTCTCTCCCTCTCTCTCTCTCTCTCACCCCAACCGGTCGAGGCAGATGGCCGCCCACCCTGAGCCATGGTTCTGCTCGAGGTTTCTGCCTCTTAAAGGAAGTTTTTCCTTGCCTCTGTCTCCTAGTGCTGCTCTTGGTGGGAACTGTTGGGCTTCTGTAAATAGCATCACAGAGTACGGTCTAGACCTGCTCTTTATGAAAAGCGCTGTGAGATAACTGTTGTTGTGATTTGGCGCTATATAAATAAAATTGAATTGAATTGAATTGAATGTTTAATACCTCTTAAAGCCCACCAGGCCACACATTTGAGCTAAGCTGCTTAGATCGCATGTACATTCAAACAGTTGCTCCATTTCTTGGTGCATCTGATTGAAAAACTGCTCGCTCCACAATGCTGGTGGTCACAAACAAGACCTTTTTGTCCCGTCATTTTTTCCAGTTCAATATATTGGTAATGACTATCAACAGGAAGTGGAGAGACGCCTTTATGGAACAGAACATCTCGTTAAGACAAAACTCAGAATTTTTGCCACATGCCCAGATTACCATAACATGGATAAGATCATTGCCAGTGTAACTGAATGAAGATGTGGAGCATTAACAACTTCAGTTGCACAATCAGAGTATTTGTGGGATTTCACAGCACATGTAGGAATTCAAATGGTGAATGACACTCTAGTCCAGCTGAATCTGCTCTCTCAATTTACAGTTGAAGGATGTGTGGTGTTAATCAAATGTGTGTAGCCAGACTAATTTGCACATATGAATGCATCTCTATTACTCAGA